GCCCCCGCCCCGCCCCCTCCCCGCGCGCTCGCTCGCTCGCTCGCGCCGAGGAAAACGTTGCGCAGGTTCAAAAATGGAACGTCGGCGGCGTGAGGGAGCGCGAGGGGGTGTGCGCGCGTGCGCGTGCGCGTGCGCGCCCGGGCGAGGGTGACGGGGACCCCGCCGGCCCGAGCATCGCGCGCCGCAGCCGCGGCCCCGCAGCTCCGCCCCCGGCTCGGCCCGGCCCGGCCCCGGGCCCGCTCGCCCGCCGCCCCGCATGGAGCTGTCAGCCATCGGCGAGCAGGTGTTCGCCGTGGAGAGCATCCGGAAGAAGCGCGTGCGGAAGGTGAGGCTGCCCAGGGGCGGCTCCCAGGACCCCTGTGGGGTCCCCTCCTGTTCCCAGCACCGTCCCCTCCATGCTGGGGGCAGGGGGGAAAGTGGGGCGACAGGCCCCAGGCAGCCCCGCGCTGCTGGGCTCGTCTCCCCAGTCCGTGCCTCAGTTTCCCCCGCCACCTTGTAGGATAAAAGTTGTCGCCCCCGGATGCTGGGGGCATCTGAGCCCGCCAGAGCTGGAGATTCGGATCGGACTGTAAGGATCCCGAATGCCTGGCTTCCTCATATGGGGAGACAGAGGCCCAAGTTCAGGAAATGGCTTGCCTAGTGTGTTAGCATCGGAACTGGGTCTCGAACTCAGGACTTGAACTCTTGGTACCAAGAGCTTTGAAGATGGAGGCGGAGCTTTGGAACAAGCTCCTGCCTCTGAAGTCTAATTGCTGGACTTCGACATTTGCCGATCCCTTCTACACCCTCACCTCCGTCTTCTCCCCCTTTTCCAGTGCACACCCCTCTGTCGTCCCCACCCCGGCTCTCAGCCCCGCCCGGCCGGCTCAGCGAAGCCGCCTACGGCACTGGGGCATCCTTAAAGCTCCTCCCCCTTCGCTTCCAAAACAGACACCCTGCAATTTAATGAGGCGTCTGTCCTGCTGGGTTCGGGTCCGGCGCCGCCGGGCTGCGCTTTGGCGGTCCACACTTCCTGTGGGCGTGTTTGCAGAGTGGGCTCGGCTCAGAGTGGAGGTTGGGGGTGGAAGTCCTGGGGGAAAGTTCCTCTCAGGCCCTCACCACCGTCCTTTTCCCTTATCTCCTCTCTGCAGCCCTTTGGGAGGCTCCAGCGGCAGGGCTGGGAGAGGTCTTAGAGGTCACCTCCTCCCATTTGGCAGAGGCAGAAACTGAGGCCCGGGCAGGGGAAGTGACCTGGTCAAGGTCGCCCGCCAAGTTAGAGATGGAGGTAGAGCAGGAGCTCCTGCTGGCTGACTGCCAGCGCATCTTCTTCGGGAGAGAAAACAGTCCTGGCGTCTTGGGCCAAGAGTGAAGGTCAGGGTGGGCCATGAGCTTCTTTTCTCCCCCCAGCTCTGAGGGGTGGGGCTCTGTCTTCAGGTTGGGGCTGCCCCCCTCCTCCTCCTCCCTTCCCCCAGGATTTCCTCGATTTTAATTTATTCCACAAGGCCCAGTGCTTTCCGAGCAGTGTGGCTTAAGCAGATACAGTGATGACCCCCCTTCTCCAGGGGGGCCGAGCAGTAGTGCTGGAGTGAGGAGCATCATTCCTTCAGCCAGTCATTTGAAATACATTTATTGAGGATGTGTATGGACCAGGCACCATTCTAAGCCCAGGGAGGGGTACATCCCTTCCCTCATGGAGCTGGTGTTCTGGCAGAGGAGACACACAACGAAAGAGGAAATAAATACCGATGCCTCGCATAGGCTGTGTGCTAATGGAAAGAGAACCATGAGGTGGGAGGTTGGCATTAGATAGGGTGGCCAGGGCAGGCCTCTTTGAGGAGATGACATATCTTGGTCTTAAAGTTCCCATGTGGAGGGGTTTCACTTGTTGGATGGGGTTGGACAGGAAACTTTTAAATGGCCCGGTCAGCTGTGAGGAAGGGAGGGGTCTGGCTCAATTTTCTAACTACTGGAGGGGTGACCACCATTTCTGAAGGTGGAGACTTTGTCAGCCTTCTCTGGGTTCCTGCCAGGGTCTTTTGAGTTGAGAGTCCTAAAGTCACTGGTCTGTCGCCTCTGGGCCAGAGGCAGCCTCTCCCAGGGAGGGGGCTAGTGGGGCTTAGAGCCACGGGGAACCCGCATCAAAGAATTTTCTGGGATATGGAGAGTCTTCTGATCTAAAAAGGAAAGAGAGTTATGGTCTTAGCGTGGGGACTCTAGACACCAGATCCTTGGTGATCTCGCCCCTGTGTGGTCTCAGTTTCCCCACATGCGATATGTGCTCCCAGCTCCTGCCACAGGAGCCCCAGAGGTGTTTGGGGCCAGATGCACTCCTGTGCTCTAGTAGGGAGGGTGGTCTGGGGTGGTCATGCAGCAGCCAAAGTGTAGGGGTCTCTGAGCTGGTGGGGATCTGGTGGGGGTCTTTGGACTGTGTGTGTGTTGGGGGACATTTGTCTGCAGAGGGGTTGGGCCCTACTGTCCTGAAGGTGGTTGTTGGGGCGGCCGTGTATCTCACTGTGTCTGTTCTCTCTCTCTTCCAGGGTAAAGTCGAATATCTGGTGAAGTGGAAAGGATGGCCCCCAAAGTAAGGCTCCCGTGTGTGTGTCTGCCTGCCTGTACATCCTCCCAGCCACCTTTGCCCTCTCTCCTGCCTAGCTTTTAGCTCCAGCTGCTCTAGTAACTGGCCAGCGGACCTTGATTAAATCATCCTCTTCTCTGGGGCTCAGTTTCCCCTCTGCCAGCTGAGGGGCTTGGAGCACATGAGGGTCAAGGTGGGCCCCAGCTTCTCTTCTCTCCCGCTCCCCTCTGAGTTGAGCTCCATCTTCTTGTTGGAACCCCTCCTCCCCTCCTTCTGGCTTTTCCCGGCACCTGGGAGATGAAGGCCCAGCATCTTGGCTTCAGAGACGACTGCTCGCCAGGTGGAGGGGCCCCCAAGCTGCAGCAAGTACAGCACAGGGTGGTGGTTTGTGGGGCTGGGTAAGACAAGTCGAGCCAGTGGGGTACGGGTCCTCAGAGCCATAGCCAGGGACAGAGCTTGAGCCCACCTTGCCTTTGCACAGCACTCTCCAGGCTACAGAGCAGCTTCCCAGGCAGCCTTGGGAGGGAGGGGTGGTGGTGATCTCTAAAGGTGAGGAGACAGGCTCAGAGAAGGTGAGCAGCTTGCGTTAGGTCACACAGGAAGTGGAGGCAGAGGTGGGACTTGAACTGGGCCTTTGCATTTTCAGGTATCTCCTCTGTGCCTCCTCCACCTCCGAGTTGGGGGGCAGGGAACTGGGTCCAGGATCTCTCCCAGTCGCCCCACCTCTCCTGCTGAGGCCCAATCAGGAACCTTCCCACCAACCAATCACCTCCCAGTAGGGATTTGTGGGGGAGGGAATGAGCAGGTCGTGGGGCCTCCCCATTGGTCTGTGGGTGCCCCACCTCCCTGCCCTGCCTCCCAGAGACTCGTGGAAACCCCCTCTGCCCAGAGCTTCTGCTGTCTGTGCCAGAGGCTTTCTGCTGTGTTGGTGCTGGTCCTGGGAGCATCTTGGGGATGTGGTGGGGAGCGACAGCAGAGGGGAAGACAGCCCCTGCAGCCTCAGCTTCCCTCTCTGCAAAATGGGTTCAATAGTCCAGGCCCCGCTCTCCTCTCACAGGCTCCTTCACCTTGTGGGCATGTGTTCAGGGGTTGGTGGCTGGCCAACCAGATAATGTGCTCGTCCACCCCTGCGGCCCCTTCCCAAACAGCCCGGGACTGAAGGAGGATCCCTTCCTCCACTGGGCAGATGAGAGCTGGACTTCCGGCCTGGGTGAAGGGGCGGTAAAAGGAGCAGGAGAGCTAGAAAAGGAAGATGCCCAGGGTGGGCAGCCGAGCACTGACTCCTGGCGTCCTGGCTGCTCCCGTAGCTTCTGCACCAGAAGGCTTTGTGTCGGAGTGAGGTCACCAGCCTGTTCGCCTTCAAGGCACTGCTGGCTATTTTCCGTCCCTTGCAGACTCCATCTTGTGGAAGATTTCCTTCTCTAAACAGAGGTACTTACTGTTAAAAGTTCCTTCTCCCACTTTTATTAATCCCAAATGAATGTTTGCCCATCAGAGCTTCCATCAGGAGGGAAGGACCTAGTGCTCCAAGAGCAGCCCCTCCATTCTGCTGGCCTGAGCCCCTGGCCCACTTGTTTCTTAACATGCTGAGACCACCAGATGGGCCCTCATGACTGCCTTTTGTGACCCTCCCAAGGGTGTTCTGGGAGCCCTGTTTGACCAGATGACCTGGGGCACCTCTGGCTCCCCCACACTTTGGTTCTGGGCTCCTGGCCTGGCTGCCTGCTGGACAGTTGTGAGTCCTTGTGCAGGTCCCCAACACGGCGAGGCCTCTGCTTCCTGGTCTCCAAGCTGGAAGAATAAAGCCTCTGTGGCAGCACTGTTGTGAGGATTAGATGATAGATATAAAGTACCTGGTGCCCACTCAGCCCAGGTGGAGCACTTAGTAAATGTTTGCTGTTCATAGGAAGTTAGAGAGCTGGGCTCCAGGGTCACCCCTGGCCAGGAGAGGATCTGGGGGATTCCACTCCTCTCAAGAGCTCAAAGTAGCCTTAGAAATCATTTAGATCAGTCCTCTCATTTTTCAGATGGGGAAACTGAGGCCCAGAGAGAGGAGGTCATTACAAGAATGTAACTGCCAACCTGGTGCAGTGTGGTCCCCACATCTTGCATCCACTGTGCCATCCCACTTCTCTTGGGGGAAAACAGAGGTGCAGTCAGGGGAGAAGCAGGAGAGCCAGGGCTCCTTTGTAACCCACTTTGTCCTCACTCTCCCCTACTCAGGGGGCCTTGCTTGGAGCAGAGGCTGAGAAAGAGGTGGGGAGGTGGGCAGGCTGCTCCCTGCAGGCCTGGGGGCGTTGGCTAGGGCAGTGCCAGCCTCAGTGGGGAGAGGAGGCAGTCTCCTGCTCTGCAGCCCCCTCCTCACCCTGGGCAGGGAGGCCTAGAGTCATAACAGAAACAGTAACAGGAACCGTGCTTTCCACGACGCTCTCTGTGCCAGACCCCTCTTAAGACTTTACACGCTTTGTCTGTTTTCTCTCCCCAACAGCAGACAAATGACTGCCCTTCCTCCCCAGCAGATGGGGCAGAGGAGCTGTCTTGGTTGTTCTGGAAGGTACAGCAAATGGCACAGGCAGGGGCTGGGGGCACCGAGCCGAGGATGTTACATCATCAACTACAGGTGCTCTTGGCCTGCAGAGACCCTCAGCTATCCCACTCTCCTTGCAGCCTGCCCAGGACTGCTGTTCCCCCTTTGGGAATGCGTTCCATCCTTCCTTCCTTTCCCACTTGTGAATGCTGCCCCACCGTTTAGGGAGGACTGCCTCTGTGGAGCTTTAGTAATGATACTGTCAGTGGGTAAGGTCATAACCAGGCTGCCAATCAGTCAGCCCCTATTATGGTCAGCGTTGGCCCATTTAATTGCCTCACTGCAACGCATTTTACAGATGGAGAGAAAAACCCTCAGCAGAGGAGTCCTTGCTCTGGGGCCATACCCCTGGGATGGGCTGCCTGACCCCAGAGCTTGGGGGCCTAGCCCTGGTGATATACAGCCAGCTCTACCAAAGGTGACCAAGGATCCCTTGTGTGGTGGCCTTTTGGCCAGTTCAGTAGGAAGTGGTCAGGCTTCCAAGCCAGGCCAGGCTGGTGATTTACCGCTGTGTGACCCAGGTTCTGTAGGTTTACCGGCTGTGTGACCCAGGGCAAAGCCCTCATCCTGTCTGTGCCTCCATTTCCCCACCTGTAAGATGAGGGCCTAGCCTCCTGCTGAAGGCTGCCTGAGACCAGAAGAGGTTCATAACAGCCAGAGGCAGAGGAGGCGCTTCCTCCTCCTCCAAGACTGGTTGGGCAGCGGCAGCAGAGTCTGGGGTTCGGGCCCTGGCAGGTTTCCGCGCTCTCTAGGCTCTTGAAATGTATTTAATTAACGCTTATTTGCTTTTATTATGTACCACATGTAAGTGCTTTCCGTGGCTTAACACATCTAATCGTTACATCAATCCCGACAGGGACTGTTGGTTGCCCACTTCACGGATGGGGAGAAGGAGGCCCCAGAGGCGGAGTCCCTGGCGCACGGCCGCGCCCGGCAGTCTCCACCTGAGTACCCCGCGCAGCTGCTCCTTTGGGGCGGCTGTGAATTGGAGTGGGGGGCTGAGGCGGGCCTGGCTCTCGGTCCCCGCCCCCCGCACGGCGGGAGCCTGCGCAGCGGGCCGCGGGCGGGGCGGCCGCCGACCTGTTTACCCGGGCTCGGGGGCGGGGCGGCGGTCACGTGGCCGTGTTTACCTCCGAGCCGGCGGGCGCCGCCCCCGCCCTCGCCCCCCATTGGTTGGCACGGTAACCCGGCGCGCGCCTCCGTGCGTGCGTGCGCGCGCGCGGCTGCCCGGCTGCGGGAGGGGGCGGGGCGAAGTGGGGCCCTCCGCCCCAACACGGAGCGCTCGGTCCCCGCCCAGCCGGCGCCCCGTCCCTCTGAGCACCCCGCCCGCCCGGAGACCCAGCCCCCGTCAGCTCGCAGGCTGGGACCCCGCCGGCAGCGCGCTCTTGTCCTCTCCGCGCCCGACTGTTCCCAAAGCGGGTTCGCCCTTGCTGTGGCCTCTGGCTCCCCACTCTGCGGGGCGGCGCTAGTGGCCTCCATTTTAGGGGGCCCCGGGGTGTCGGAGAGACACTTGTGCAGTCCCTCTCCCCTCCCCGCCCCTAGCACGGAGCAGGGCCAAGCCTCCCACTGCCAAGTCTAATACTGTAAAGTTGCCTCAGACCCCTAGCTGCCCCAGGCCAGGGACAGTCCCCCGTGAATCCGCTGTGTGCCAGGCCCGGGGTCAGACACTGAGGACGTGGTCAATCAGACCGTGCCCCCTTTCCAAGGGCGTCACAGCCTGGGGGAGCCAGATACCGTGACGTGAGGGACCCGAAGGTAGAGAGAGGGTGGCTGAGATTCAACTGAGTTCCAGCTACAGACTGCCCATTTACTGGCTCAGTGACCTTGGCAAGATGCTAACCCTCTGTGCCTCAGTTTCTTCATCTGTAAAATTGGGGTAACCTACCTCATCAGGGTGTTATGAGGACAGGATGACTCCCTGGCGGTGGCCCTGCTCTCGGACCTCTTGTTACTGTGGTGGTGGCCGTTATTCTTAAGAAGAGGAAATTGAAGTCCAGAGAAGGTTAGAGACTTGCCAGGAACCACACAGCAGCTACATCAGCAGAAAATGGGCAGGGCAGTGGGGAAGTGGGCAGGGCGGAGAGGACTGGAGCGCTGTAGAGACATTTCAGCAGCTAGAGAGAGAGGGCGAGGCCGACCACACGCAGGAGGAGCACAGAATTCCGCGTTCTTGTTGCTAGTTACAGTTGAGGAAATTCACCCTTTGTTTGGGGGAGGAAGGTTTGGAGTCTTTGCCAGCCTCTGGTCGCTTATCGTTTGGGCTCTACCCAAACTGTAAAACACCCCAGTTTCACTTTCAGCATTTCTTCAGGGTGAGCGGAACTGCAGGGGCTTCTACAGCCATTTCCAGAGCACCTGGGGGCGGGGCCCCGGGCTGGGCGCTCTGGGGAGGGGTTACCATCTGCCCCGGGAGGCCAGCTGGATTCATCAATAATTGTGGCAGGTGCAAAGGACAGCAGTAAGGCGGGGGAGAGCAGAGGGGAGGGTTTGTCCTGCTGCCAGTGGGGCAGCTTGCAGAGGATCAGGGACAAGGGACCTGACTCTTAAAGGATGAGTAGGAGTTCGCTGGAGGGATGGCGCTCCAAGAGGAGAGACAGCACTTGCAAAGGAAGGGAGGTGGGACCCTGCCTGCTCAGGCTGGACATGTGAACGTGTGGCACTTGGGTCACGGCTCTAAGGTCCTCATGGCATGGGCCTTCATTGCTGAGTCCACCGAGCCCGACACTGGGCCAGGCATGAAGTAGGTGTGCAGAAGTGTCAGGGAGAAAGGAGGAAAGGATTCTGTCCTGGGGGAGCGTGTTGTTGGAATCTAGATTGGACTACTGTTAGGTAGCACCATGTTCCATGGTGGTTTAAGATGAAGGTGTTAGCTCCGCTAGTGAGGAGACAGCAGGGCAGGGGCTCTGCCCGCCTCTTTCTGCTTGCTCACCCTGCCCCAATACCTGCTCACCTCCCTTCTAATCCAGCAGAGCTGGGTGCAGCCTCAGCCAAAATCGTAGTCCACTGCTTTGTTTTTGTTTGTACGCACTCATGCACACATATATGTGTATTTGTATGTATATGTGTATTTGTGTGCATGCATATATATACACATATGTATATGTTTTAAAGTTTAAATTTTTTTATGCACTAGTATCTGTTTATGGTGAGCGATATTGGTTTTTCCATTTATGGAAGTCATATAAAGTTTGCTTTTAAAATAAAATCATTTAAACAAAGGAAGTGAGCTGCTTTAAAGGCAGATACTAAGTAAATCCCCAAGCAGGTGGAGCAAGGATGGCTGAGCTCAGGAACTGCTGAGCTGTCACCGCCCAGGCAGTGGTGCCCTCTGGTCCCAGCAGGGGGTGCTGTACGATCTGGGAGTGGTGGAAAATCCCCTGTGGAAATACCAAGTGGCCTGCCACAGGATCACTGCCCTGTCCAGTCACTAGACATTTACCACATTCCTGCTGTGTGCCAGGCCCCGAGACAAGGGAACTTCAGACGTGGCCGTGAGGGCACGGAGCACAGAAGAGGGAGGGAACAGCTTGGCCCCGGGCAGAGGAGGGCCTGCTGGGCTGGGGCTTGAAGGCTGGGTAGGGACACAACAGTAACAAACACAGAGCACTTCCTGTGAACCAGGCACTCTTCTAACACTTAGAGACATGAACACATTTAGTCAGCACGTGTCCTTTACAGATGGGGAAGTGGAGGCACAGACACGTTAAGTAAATTGTTCAGGGTCACACAGCTAGCAAGGGCAGAGCTGGGATTTAAACCCTGGCAGTCTGCTCCAGAGCCCCTGCCCTTTACTGCATGCTCTTGTGCCTCGCAGGGAGGGAACCCTGGGATTTACAGGGCTTGCCCTCTTCCAGGCACCCGGTGCTTCTGAGGTGAACATGGGGTCTGATCCGGGGTTGGACACAATTTATAGGGTGCTATGATCAGTGCTCAGAATGAGGGGAGTTCTGGTGTCATTGGAGTCCCCAGGAGGCCCCTGACCTAGCGTGGGTGGCCAGGGACAGTTCCTGGGTATAGGTGACAATTACACTGGACCAGGAAGTGGCAGGGGCCTGCAGACAGTGGGCCCAGTGGAGCAGCTGTGGCCTCTGTGAATGCCAGGGAGCAGGGTGGCTCTGACCTCTCGTTTTTCTCCCCAGGTACAGCACGTGGGAGCCAGAAGAGCACATCCTGGACCCCCGCCTGGTCATGGCCTACGAGGAGAAGTAAGGGGGGCTCAGCCTGCCATTGGGGCTGGGTGTAAGGCAGGCTCTGAGGTTCCTAGGGAGCCTGCTGCTGGCCTGGCTCTGAACAAGGGTCCTGGGCTTGGCGGGGTGGGTCTGCAGGGACAGCCCGGTCTAGTCTGCAGCTGGGGGAAGGTGGTGGGCACCAGGTCCCAGGGCAGCCGGGGGTCCTGGGCCCTTTCCTGTTTCTGGGTGATGTCGGCCACTTCCCTTAGCTCCCCCGGCCTTGGTCTCTCTGCTGTGAGATGGGCCACCCTAATAACACACACCCTGATTTCCCCGTAAGGTGGGGCTCTCAGTTGCAGTGCAGAATGTAAAAGTGCTTCACAGAGATGCCCTGCGTGTGAGGGGCAGCAAGACCAGTAATGCCCAGTCCTGCCCCTGGGGACAGAGCAGAGAGAGATTCTCCCACGGAGAGAAGGCATCTGATGAGGCTCTGGAAAGGCCAGGGGATGGAGCGTGGCTTTGGAGCCAGGATATCCGGGTTCTTGGCCACCTCCTAGCCGAGTGCTCTGCCAGTGCTCTGCCGCGATTCCTCAGCTTGGTTAGTGAGTGGCAGCTCCTGCTGTGGGCCATAAGGGGAGAGCCTTTGACAAAAATGGTGTTTCTCCTGGTGTGGGGCCTGTTGGGCATAATCTAGCCATTGCCCTCTGCTTCGCGAGCCCCAGTGTTGTTGACCGCGCTGCTGGTGGGCAGCCCAGGTCCTTCTGCTTCTCCCCGACCCGCCGACCCTGTACAGTGCGGGCCCGTTTGATAAAGGTCGCCCTTCTGATAGCCTTCTGAGATGGGGGTGAGCATCTTGTTTGACAGATGAGGGAACTGAGGCTCTGAGGAGCTGAGGGGCTTGTCCAGGAGCCTCACAGCTGGGAAGTGGCCCCACCAGGGCTCAGCCGGGGCTCCCTTCTCTGCCCTCCTCGCCCCCTTCTCCCTGCTCCTCCCCCAGGAGGTCTCCTGCTGTGGATTCAAAGAAGTTGCCACCGCTCTTTCTTTTAGAGGCAGGGGATCCCTGTCCCACGGCTTCTTCCTGGTACCCGGTGCTTGGTGGACCTTGATCCAAAAGGGTTGTGACACGGGGAGAGTCCCGCGGGGTGTCCTGGACTGTGGTAGGAGAGCGTTGGGCGGGCGACAAGGGCCTGGTTAGAGTCCTGGCTCTGCCACTCACCAGCTGCGAGTTGTCGGGCACGGCCTTCTCCCCTCTGAGCCTCGGCATCCCTGTCTGTGAAGTGGGGATGACAGTGCTGACCTCCTGGGCTCTCAGGGGGAGTGAAGGTAGTGAGAACACTTTGTAAATTAGTACATGTGGCCCACACGTGAGTTATCCCCCCAATGGTAATCAGGGGTCAGCTAGGTCATTCTTTCACTTGTTCCACAAGTCTTTATCGAAGTCCTACTATGTGCCAGGCCCTGTTCCAGGTGCTGGGGACACAGCAAGGAACAAAACCAACCAACGTGCCCACCCTCCGGGGCTCACATTCCAGTAGGGAGATACACAATAGAAAATACTCCACTAAGTGGATGCGGGAGCAGATGGTGCTATCCGCTGCCAAGATGGGGTGGGCGGGGGTGCTGGTTTCAATGGGTTGGTTAGGTGGTGGTGTTTGACCAGAGACCCGAATTAAGTGAGGGAGTGAGCCCAGTGGGTACTTCAGAGAAGAACATCTGGGTAAAGAGAAGAGTCAGTGCAAAGGCCCTGGGGTGGAGGCCTGTGTTTGAGGAACAAGGTGGAGGTGAGCATGGCTCTGAGTGTGGCTGACTGGAATGATGTGAGTTGGGGAAGATGTGGGAGATGAGGCAGGGGCAGGGCGGCTGGAGTGGGGCCCAGCTCAGGGAGGGCCATGTGAGTCCTGGTAGAGGATGTGGATGTTATTTTGAATGAGTCAGAAAGTCAATAGTTAAGGAACAAGTTGGAGCTTGGAGACTTTTGCAGACCCACTGTGTGGCTCTTGGCTTACTCTTCTCCCTCAGTCTGGGTGAAAGGGGTAGGAGGGCAGACGCCCATTTTAACACCTGCCTCGCAGGGTTTTTGAGAGACTTAGAAGGAGTTGGGCAGAGGGCCTCTAACGGGGAGCCCCTGTGTGCCCGGAGGGGCTGAGAGGGCACTGAGGGCTTATGGGACCACAACTAGGGGGGCCTCCACACCACAGCCCTGGACACTGATGGGCAAAGGGTCCAGAGCTGACAGAAGCCGGGCCCCAGGAAGGTAAGGACTGGACAGAATAGACCTCCCCACACCCGCTCACCACACACAACCCCCACAACCCTACACACCCACACCCTTCAGTTTGCAGGCAGGAGCCCCTGCTGCGGATTGGAGGCGGGATCATGTGGCCGGCCGGGGCTCCAGGCCTGCCCTGCTGGCCCTGACTGGCCCGCAGCCCAGAGCTCAGTGTTTTCACCAGTGGCAGAAGTTGTCAGAATTTTGGTACTGGGAAAGTGACTTAACCTCTCTGTGCCTCAGTTTCCACAGTTGTGAAGTGAGTGTAGGGCAGTTGTGAGGGTTAAAGCGTTTAGGGCAGGGCCTTGTGCAGAGCGTCCAGTACATGATGATAATAGTAATAAACAACACTATGGAAATATCACAGACACATTATTATCATTATTATCCTTTTTTCCCAAGCCCTTCTCTTTCCCCGTCTCTGCTTCCTCCTCCTCTTCCTTTCTTTTCTTTTTATTCCTTCTCTCTTCCTCCTCACTTTATTATTTTAGACTTTTTACCCCCATTTTGATACATAGCAGGGATCTCTCGTGCTCCTCCCAGGAGCCCCGGTGGCCAACTGAGAAGGGAGCCTCTCACTCCAGACGAGGCCCTGAGGCCCAGAGGGGAAGTGACAGCCAAGGTCTCCCACGGGTCAGGGTGGAGCTGGGCCTGGAACAGGCATCCTGGCACCCAGCACCGAGTTCTGAGCTAAGATGCTCCCCTGGAGGGCTGGGGGAGACCGTCATGGTGAGCTGCCAGGAGCTGGCAGCAGAGAAGCGCCCTGGGTGCTTCTCCCACATGCTGGTTCTGGGGCCCCATGGTGACTCCATAGGGGGGGAGCGCCCTCCTCAGGGTGCACTTCCCCCAGCACCCCTGAGACGGATGTCCGTGAGGGCTGGCAGCCACTGCCTAGGGGAGGGCCGACGGGAAAACAGCTGCGTGGGATTGCTGGTTTAGCTGAGCTCAGATTGAGAGACCAGCCTAAGGCCACACAACCAGTAAGGGGAAGGGGCGAGCTACTGGACCACACATTCTTTCTGCCTTCCATGTGGCCTCTGCAGTGGCAGCTACAGAGAGTGTGCATGGAGTGGAAACAGGCAGAATGAAATGACTGAATTTTTCCACCACTTCCGGCACTTTTGTTGGAATCTGTGTCGTGATGTGTGTGTTGTGTGTGGCTTTGTACGCATCCTCAGGTTGTGCCTGTGTGTTTGTATGTTTGGGGTGTGGGAAGGGCACCCAGCAGAGAGTATGGCATCTGCTAGAGACTCAATACAGGCTAGTTTTTCTCCCCTTCCCTGACCAGATGATCATGCAGATCCCAAATGGGGAGAAATCTGGGCAGAGCTTCACTTACAAAAGACCCTTCCCATTCTCATCAGCTCTCCGGGACATTCAAGGCAAATTTGATTGACGGGTTTCTATACAACTCTCCTACAAGTGGAAGCTGGAGCTCATTGCTTTGGGGGGTTCCCAGTGGCCTGTAGAGCAGAGCTCTGGCATGACCCCGGAGCCCAGTCAAGACCCACATAGTTTTGGAGATGCCACCTGAGTCCCACCTCAGCAGTTGGGACCCGGGGCTGTGCCCTCGCCTTTTGTCGGAGGGAAGACTGAGGCCTGGGAGTTGAACATGTGACCCCATTGTTGTGGCCTAAAGAGAGTAACAGGGAGGAGCCCCCACCCCAGGATTGGGGGGTGGCCTGTGGGGGGTGCGCCCTCCCCATAGACAGCAGAGGGCGGGTGGAGCAGACGCCTTACTTTCCCTTGAGTGTCACCAGTGTTTCCTTTTCTTCTGCCATCTGCTTTGCACCCCAGGGAGGAGAGAGACCGAGCGTCGGGGTATAGGAAGAGAGGTCCGAAACCCAAGCGGCTTCTGCTGCAGGTAACCCCACCAGCCTTGGCGCCCACCCACAGGTCTCCCTTGCTCCAGCCCCCGCCCCATCCGTGCATTTGCACCGCCTAGTTGAGCTGAACCACTTACCTCCTCGGCTCTGCCCAGGGTGCTGTGGGGTGGGGCACCTAGTGGGTGAGTTTCAGTGGGAGGAGTTGGGAAAAGTTGGAATGTGGGGCTAGCGCCCCAGGAAGACAGCTGGGGCAGGGGTGCTGTTTTGGGAGGGAGGCTGGATATATGGCTAATGGGATCCTAGAAGTTTGAAACCTTAGAATCTTGTCATTAAGCCTTTTTGATGCTCAAAGTCCCCAAAACACAAAATTGTAGTATTTGAGAACCTTAGAAACATAAACATTAGACTTGAGGAAACGTGGGAGCCTGGAATTTTAGAATCCAAGGAAAGGACACTCTTAGAATTCTGGAACCATAGTCTTGGAATGCCCTAGGAATGTGTCACTCTTGAGTGAGAAGAAACCTACGGGGCCTCCTTTTCCAACCCTCCCAGGTGGGGTCTAGACTACGACATCCCAAGTTACCCAGGTTTTGGGGGCACTTTGCTGACTTCACTGCTTTGTGCTGAAAGGCGGGTAGAGTCTGAGGTGCTGTGGTTATGTGATTTGAGGCCAGTCTTTTAGCTTCTCTGAGCTTGTGTTTTCTCATCTGTAAAATCAGGATGATAAGAATAGCTGTTCCCCTTAATGAGGCCCAGCCAGGTATTTGAAGCCCAAAAATAAGGCTTCCTGGTCCACGTGCAGTGTGAGCCATGCCCAGCCTCCTGCCCACTCTTGGCTATAGATCACCCGAGGCTTTTGCCAGGGTAGCTGGGCCTCCCTTCATGCACTGGGCGTTTTCCATGGGGTTTGGTGTGAACTGGGTCCCAGGAAGGGAGGTAGCATCTGCCGGCCATCTTCTCCACACTGACGCTCCTCACAGGCGAACACACTTCATCCGCACTCTAACCCTGCGGGAAGGGGCATTACTTATCTGTTGCTGTGTAGTAAATTACCCCCTAACTAAGCAACTTAAAGCAATAAACACTTAATGTATCAGCCAGTCTTGGCAGGTCAGGAATTTGGGAATCTTTAGCTGGTTCTTTAGTGATTCTAGTTCAGGCTACAGTCATGTCAGCCAGGGCTGCACTCATCTGAAGGTTGGACTGTGGCTGGATGCTCTGCTTCCAAGGTGGCTGCTCATGTGCCCGGCGAGTCAGTGCTGATGTTGCCAGGAGCCCTGGTTCCTTAGCATGTGGACCTCTCCATGGGTCTGCTGAGTGGCCTCACAGTATGGCCACTAGCTTCCCCCAGAGTGGGTGGTCCCAGAGGGAGAGCAGGGAGGAAGCACAGTGGCTTTAACAACCGAGTCTCAGAAGTCCCGCACCACAGTACTCAGAGGGGACTGTGTGAGGGCGTGAGTTCCTGGAGCAAGGTATCACGGGGCTGTCTTAAGGGCCGGCTACTACAGTTTCTTCATCGTTTCACTGATGAAGAAACGGAGGCTCAGGGAGGTCAGTAGTTTACCCAGGGCCACACAGCTGGATTAGAGCCCAGATCTGACTCGTGGTGCTCCTGGATCCCTGTTAGTAGCTGTAGTGTTCTTATGGTGAGATGGGGAAGGACAAAGATGAATCCGCCTTGCAGAATCGTAGGGGAGTTTACTGGGCTTGTGATGAGCCAGGCTGAAAGAGCTGCACGTAGAATAAGCCCTCCTGGCATCGCAGTACAGTCATGCATTGCTTAATGACAGTGACACGTTCTGAGAAGTGCGCCCTTAGGTGATTTCTGGGTGACAGACCTAGATGGTGTAGCCCACTCCACACCTACGCTCTGTAGTGCTGATCTATGGGGCCACCGTCGTATATGCGGTCCGTCGTTGACTGAAATGTCGTTACGCAGTGCATGACTGTGTTTTCCCAGTCCCCTCTCAGTTCAGCCCTCCTCCCGTCCCGTAGCAGCCCGCACCCCCTGCCTGGTGATGGGCATTAGCAGGGGGACTGGAGAATGGAGCCTGCATGTGTGACCTTTGCTCCCCACTTGGAGCTGTTTGACTTACAAGTTCCATGTGATGGCCTCACTCTCTTCCTAGGAGCTCTTGGCCTCTGGTGACAGGTGGCAGTAGAAGGTACTATTCCAGAGTGATCCAGGCCCCCGTAACACCTTAGCACCAGGAACCTTTCTTGGATTGTATAAATTTCCTCCAGAGTCAATAAGACAAATCCCCAAATTATAAAACTCCAGCCCTCGAGTAGGGGAAGAGCGTGGCCTCCAGCCCTGTTTTAACAAGAGTTAGATGGGGCGTCAACAGAGGGCTGGACCCACATAGGGCTGCACTGCAGCTCAGAGCCAAGGAGCGCCCCTGGAGGGACGGAGGGGTGCCTCAAGGCTGCTGGCAGAGCACTGTCCTTGTGGCTGTGTGACGTGGTGCACCCCAGTGCTGTGTGTACCCTTCGGTTAACTCAGTTAAGAAACTTAGACCTCGGCCTCACACCATCTCCCTGGCAGCTAGCTGTTTCAGCTTTGGGGGTCCTTTAGTAAGCAAAGACTCCATTCCCGTAACGAAGAATAACTCTTTAATTTATCTGCTTCATAAATCCAGATTTGTTTTTTATTGGTCAGTTTTCAATTTGTACCGCTTGTGTGCTCCTCTGCTGTGCACCAAAGGAATATGCCACGGCCCCCATCCCTGAGCCGCTTATAGCCCCCTGGGAGAGGAGGCTGCACTGGGGCCAAGATGAGTGGCTGAGCCGGGCCAGGCGGGGGGCTGGGGCGGGTCAGGGGCGGCTCTCCGGGCTGGGGGAGGGTTGGGGTGCTCCTGGCTCAGGCGGGGGTCACAGCATGAGCAGAGGCGCGGCAGTGGGTGGGAGGGCGGGGCTGACCCGCCGTGCCCTGGCTTGCCCCCGCAGCGGCTGTACAGCATGGACCTGCGGAGCTCCCACAAGGCCAAGGGCAAGGAGAAGCTCTGCTTCTCCCTGGCGCGCCCACTCGGCAGCGGGAGCCCCGAGGGGGTGGTCAAGGCGGGGGCGCCTGAGCTGGCGGACAAGGGCCCCTTGGTGCCCACCCTGCCCTTCCCGCTCCGCAAGCCGCGCAAGGCCCACAAGTACCTGCGGCTCTCACGCAAGAAGTTCCCGCCCCGCGGGCCCAACCTGGAGAGCCACAGCCATCGACGGGAGCTCTTCCTGCAGGAGTCGCCGGCCCCGGACGTCCTGCAGGCGACCGGCGAGTGGGAGCCTGCTGAGCAGCCCCCCGAAGAGGAGGGTAAGGCGGCCCAGGCCCAGAGACCCTGAGACTGGAAAGGTCCCTTGAGTCCTCAGTGCCCAGAGAGGGCCCGGGGTGTTCCCAAGGCCACACAGCCTGCAGGGACCCTGGCACCTCTCTGCAGTCCCACTCCAGAGGCGCTCTCCTCCAGCCAGGGAGGATAGGTGTAGCGGCCAGCCTCGAGCCGGGCCCTGACCTGGCTGGAGACTCAGGAGGACCGGGTGTTGGAGGGTGGTGGCGGTCTGCATGTTGCCACCTGCTCCCACCTTCCCCCTTTGTCATCAACACTGTCGCCCGTCTGTCTGTCTTTCTCCCATGGCTGCAGCAGATGCAGACCTGGCTGAGGGGCCCCCTCCCTGGACACCCACGCTCCCCCCAAGTGAAGTGACAGTGACCGATATCACCGCCAACTCCATCACCGTCACCTTCCGCGAGGCCCAGGCAGCTGAGGGCTTCTTCCGAGACCGCAGCGGGAAGTTCTGAGTCACCATTTTTACTCTTCTTAAACTGTTTTCTTTAGGGCTTGGGGTGGGGACTTCCAGAGATGGGGAGGGGTTGGGGTGGGGTAATTATTTTATTTAAAAAAATATGGAACAGGAGATATGGTGGGGAGACCCAACACCCTCCCACCCCTCTGCCCCCTTCTCTACGCGTGATGTTTACAGAGAAGCTTGGGGGTCTGTTTCAGGGGCCAGGGCAGCCTGGCACTGCTCTGTCAGTTGGGGTGCCATCTCCAGGGTGGGATGGGGACAGAGCCACTCTCCCCTGGACACCTCCGTCACCATTCTTCTCTAGAGACATGGCAGCTGGTCCTAGGAACTAAAGGAGGGTGGGAGGGCCCCAAACCTCCCCCATGAGCAGCCCACCCCAGCCTTTCTGGTTGGTTTCCCTTTTCCTTTTTTGGGGGGGAGGGGTCTTTATTTCTAACTTTCCGCTCCAGCTTTGCAGTGAGATGTGGAGGCTGGCTTTGGCCAAAAGTCAGAGAGGAGGGCAGGAGGAAGGGTTTGAGATTGCTGGAGTGTGTCTGTGCCCTTCAGAGAGGCCTCTCCCTTCCCCAGCTGCCAGCGGAGCCCCTTCCACTGAGAGTTCCGCCCCCACCACCTGGCCTGTGAGAAAGGCTGCGTGCACACCCAGGCGCACAGCTCTGCGTGCACTGCCCCTCGCGCCCCTGTGACTGCGTGTCTGTGTCTGCAGACGGGTGCGGTGGGTCTGGCAAACCTCCTGTTTAGAAACCCTGACCAGGTGAATGTGAGGGGATTCACAGCACAAAGGAACTTGCCACGGGCACCCTCCACTCACACCACCTTGCTCGGCACATCATGTGACAGCTCTGTCCCAACTCAGTTTGCTCCCAGCTGTCAGCGGAGGGCAGGGTCCAGCCGTGGACGCTCCAGGCGTGCAGATGCAGTTTGGGCGCCTCACCTGGCCAGCCGCAGCGTGCAGGGGGGCCCTGTCCTTCCTCCCCGAGGGGCTCTTATCCTCTCTGACTCAGGTGGCTTTTCGGCCCTTCCCACTCCCCTCTTTTTCTGCCCTCCCTTCCAACTCAGCCAACCCAGACGTGGGTGTGGGTGGTGGGGGAAGGGAGTGTCCCACCACCTTCTCAGGGCTCCCTCGACTCCTGACACCCTTCCCCCTTCCCTTCTGTGTCCCCTCGCCATCCACCCTAAATGCCACAGCTAGAGCTGACCTGTGCTTCTGCGCGGGCGGTGTGGGGACGGGCCTCGGCCGTGTCTTCCCGTGGTCGGGCTGCAGTGGACGGTGGGTCAGGTTGTGTCTGCCGGCAGGAAGCTTTCTAGTTTGTACACGTGTGCCCCGTGGGCTAGTAGCTTCCTTGGCATTGAGGAGTGACTTCTCCCCTATCCCAGCCCTGTGGGGTGAAAAAGCCAGAGTGGGGGGGGGGGCGCCAGGGGAGCCAGTAAAAGGCTGGCTCCTTGCCCCCCCATTGTCAGGGTGGGGCACTCCTGTTACCCGGGCCCCGCCATCCCCCAGCTGTCTCCCCCTCTCTGCTTTCCTTGAGGAAGTCAGCAGAATCCCTGCTGAGGCAAGGATAGGGCGCTTCTTCCCCCAGACCCCTTCCCAACTTCCCAAACCAAAGACAGCCTGCACCCCCTTTTTGTTTGGGGTGCCCTGCCGGCAAGATACCCAAATCCCTGAGTCTCTCTCCCCTTCCTCTTTAGTCATTCGTTGTCCACGGTCAATTCAGTGCTTCCACTGGGGGATGGTCCCGTCGAGGTGACTTGACACATCCGCAGCCTGAGTAGTTGAATCTAGAGGAGTCTGTGGGGTGGGTCAGGGAAAGGAGGGCAGCAGGGAATCCTACCTGCCCAGATGTGGGACCTTGGGGGGCGAAGTGCAGCTTGGAGTTGGGGGCTTTCCCAGCAGAGGTGAGGGGGGTGGAGGGGGGTAGAGGGGCCTTCTCTAGTTGAATGCGGTTGGCTGTGGCTTTGGGACGTGGCTGGCAGCTCCCAGTAGAAGTCATCCTCCCATCCCCGGGAACGTGGGCCCTCTTCCTGCCTCGTGGGCACTTTCGAAGAGCCCTTTGTGCACTTTGTGGTTTGGGGCCCTTTTGTGGGATGAGCAGCTGTTTGTCGGTCAGCCGCCTCAGAACACTTGTTGCCTCTTACTCAGCCCTTCGTGGCCCACAGGGCACCTGTGTCTCGGGGGCTGAACCCTGCAGCAGGCCGGCTTCCGGGGGCAGGGCTGTGGGCTAGAGACCTCTCTAAGGGGTTGGGTGTGGTGTGCAGGCCTCCTCCCAGCCCTGAGCGTCCCAGAGGAGTGAGAGGGGGCAAGGCCGACACTGACCTTCTGCCTCACCCCACCGCCACCCCAGAAGGCCAGTACTCCAGAGGGTGGGGGTGCTCAGAAAGAGTTGGACCACCTGTCTTTCCTTCCCCAGCCCCACCTGTTTTGAATGTAGAGAGACCAGTTGGTACTTTTCTTTGGCTGTGGGCTGGGGCGAGGACGGTGTTCCTCCCCTGGCACGGCCACTTGTAGTGCCGTGAGCCGTGGGCGCCCTGATGAGCATCACTCCTAGGACGGTGATGGGCGATCGCATTGCCAACTTTCTCCTCCTCTCCTGCCCGGGGGGGCGCTCTGCTGCTGGGAGGTGTTTCTCTTTTGCTCTGTAAGTGGTAGCCTGGCCTCCGAGTCCCAGCACAGGAACGCCTCCTTTGCACAGAATGGGCATCGAGCTTTGTTCAGACGAAATGAATGTATTTGGGAAGGTGGGGCTGAGTCGATTCCAAGCACATGCCTTTTCTGAGTGAGTGTGTGCTGGGGAGAGCTAGAGTGGATGCAGAGCACGGTTTTATTTTTGTACTGATATTGGTAAGAGACTATAGCATCTATTTATTTAGATGATTTATCTGGTAAATGAGGCAAAAAATTACTAAAAATACATTAAAAATGATTTTAAAAAAAAACCTCTTGCATTCGAGCCTTCCTTTTGATGGTGTCACAGCTGTGTGGGGAAAGAGCTCCAGCCCCGGGTGGCGGGCTGGGATTTAGGGCCGAGCTCTGCCCGTCTCTGACCATGACCTTGGACAGGTCGTTCCGTTTTCTGAGCCCTCCAGACGTACCGTGAAGATTGATTCAGGTGATGAGTGGAACTGGCAATTGGAGGGTAGACGGACAGGTGCCCACTGTGGGGGTCCCCGCAGGGTATCGTCAGAGGCCGAGCAGAGCTTCTGGTCTCATCTCTGCTTCCTGCCAAGAGATTTGTGTTCTAGAACGTAGGGTGGTCAGCGTCCCAGGTCTCTGCAGTTGCAGGTTCTGGAACCCGGGATGGTCATGGCCTAACTCTCATCTACCATTCTGTGCCACCAACCCAGAGGGTGGTGGTCGGAGCAGAAAAGAGTGAGCGACGGGAGAGTCCTCCAAGCACGTCTGCCTGGGAGCTGGCGGGGCTGGCAGCGGGGAGAACAGGTAAGAGGCTGCTGCCACCCCCCGGGTGGGGGATGGTGAAGGCTGCAGCCAGGACGTGTCAGTGACGGGAGAATGGATGGGCCAGAGGTAGACTTAGGAGGGAGGATTGTCAAGACATTTTCGCCATGATTTGGTATGAGGGCGAGGGAGGTGTCACAGTTATGCCCGCGTTTCCAGTTTAGACAACTGCGTAGTGGTGGTTCTTTACCTGGATGGAGACTAAAGGAGGAGAAGCAGGATTGGAGGTGCCTTGGTCACCCTGAAAAATAGAGCCTAAAACAAGGGTTTTCTAGTCAGGGGGTTCATTTGGGAAGTGACCCAAGGAGCAGGGATGAGCAATTGGAATGGGTCAGGGAAGGAAGAAAAGGCACGAGGAGGAGCATCATTGAGGTCACCTTTATGGCAACTGGCGTGTTGTTCATTCTACCCGAGATCACCCAAGAAGTATACAAACATCCCCCAGAATTGGCCACTCCCAAAGGATGAGGGATGGGAGCATTACCCATTGAGTGCCATCCATCGTTGTTTGAGGGTTGCCCCCGGGTGTGCTAACCCGATCCCCCAACTCCCAAGCTTTGCATATGCCGGCTCCCACCTGTCCGTTACCCCGTCCACTGTATTGGAAGAGCCTGGGGTGGAAAGTGGAGACGTGCGGCCAGGACAATCCCATGTGGAACTGTCTGCCCCATCCACAGCTGCAGTCAGAGCTGAGGCCAAGACAGGAGTGCCCAAGGCGGGCACTAGAGGTGTCTGACACAGCTCACCCCTTGCCCTGCTCCACTTCCTGCATTCTCCGTAATAAATCCACTCTTTCACTGAGTCTTCAAAGAGGGGACCAGTTATAATCTCTGTAAATGAAGACTTGATAACTGATGGTTGGTGGCACACACCACGGTCCTCGGTGCTGCTGCTGGCCCCGAGGCTGTAGTGGATACTCGTCGTCTCCCTGCTTCCCGACTCTGCCCCGCACTCAGCCAGTGTTCCCGCTGGCTGGCTTACTCGCCCGGTGGGGAGACTCAGCCTCTCGTCCATGGAGAGTGTGAGCCTCGTCAACTAGTCCTTGCCCAGTCAGGCTGAGGTTGCAGCAAGTGCCTGTTTACAGTCACCACTGGGCACCAAGAGATGCCCGGTGGCAGACAAACTCCTCTCTGCCCACAGCGCTGACCCTGGCATCTCTTGTAATCATGGTCAGTTAACCTCATCAATTTAGTAACCACTCTTTTTGGCAAAGTGACCAGCCGATAGTTGTAGCTCCAGTTTCTGGGGAATTCCTTACACTGTCCCCTGGCAGAAACGTTCCCTCCGCTGGGCAGCAGGACCTCTGGTCTACCAGGGTCTAAGTTGCAGTGGTGAGGAGGGCCTGTGCAGCGTCCCCGCCTTGGCTGTCCCTGGACGCGGCACCACTGGTTCAGTGCATACACTAACCCTGGAGGACCGTGCCCCAGCTCTGCAGGGTGATGATGGTGGCGATGGCATAGATGGTGGTGATGCCGTGGACAGCGAAGGCAAAGCCACGTCCTGAGTGGGTCTGCCATCTGGTAAGCGTGAACTGCTGGCCTCTCCAGCGGGAAGGGAGGCTAATGCAATCAACTTGCCACGAAGTTTCCAGCTGATCTCCTTGAGGGCTGGCCGTATATCGAGGGCTCGCTGTCAGTACCTGCCTCTGACAGGTTGGACGTTCATCAGCTGTGGGAACTAGCCTTGGGACCAGCTTTGTGAAAGGAAGCCCATGCTGTTGGGCCCACGTGTAGCCTCCCTTTCATCCACTGGTGGGCTGATTGTGCAGGCACTGTGTGGCAAGGACAGAGGCTGCCTGTCATCCACCGTCAGATGGATGGATGGATCATTCTGTCCTGTTTCTTGAGTCTTATTTACGGTGAGTGCTCTCTAGTGGGCACAAATCTGAGATACAGTCTGCCCTCTTCAAGAGAACATGGTCAGATGTAATAAATCCATCCCCAAATTTCTACCAGCTTGAGCCTTCTGGCTCCTTCCCCAAACCTATGCCAAGTCTGTTTTAGCGTTTATTATGGTCACCTGCAGAAGCACCTGGAGCCCCTCACCCAAAATTTGGTTCAGATGTTGAGATTTATGCCACACACACCAGGAGGGTATGAAAACATTGATTACATACATAACTGAGGTCTCTGGGGCGAGTAAGGTAGCCCTCTCAAGCAGGTCAAAATGGCCCGGGAGAGCCAGGAAAGGAGCTGGTCTGGGTCTTCCTGGGGCTGGAGGGTGGGCCGGGCTGAGCATTCCTGTGCTGAGCAGAGGCCTGCATGGTGTGAATCTCCTGCTGGTGCCCAGGAAGGCGCATGAGGCTTTCTTATTAGCTTGCTCAGATGTGGGGCGCAAGAGGAAGAAGGAGGGGTGAGGCTTAAAAGCTGTCATCAGTTAAACATCAAACAGGGATTCAGGGCCAGCCCCGGTGGCCTAGTGGTTAAAGTTCAGTGCTCTCTGCTTTGGGGGCCTGGGTTCGGTTCTCGGGCACAGAACCACACCACTCATCTGTCAGTGGCCATGCCGTGGCAGTGGCTCACATGAAAAAAGAGGAGGTCTGGCAACAGATGTTAGCTCAGGGCAGATCTCCCTCAGCGTTCAGACTCCTCATGACAGCATCTCCATCCTGTAGCAGCTGTCGTCATGACGACACCCAGGCTCACGGAGCTATCTCTGCAGCGAGCGTGTTGGGTCTGGCACCAGTGTCCTTGTCAGTTTGTTAAACCTTGACTTGCAGAGAGCGCTCTCCCGTCAGTACTTCTCCCTGTCCAGTTTATTTTCCCCTCCAAGTCTCAAACCCTCAAACCTAGCCCACGTGTGCGCCCCATGTTCCTGTCGTGTGTGTTAGTGGGTCTCGCTGGCAGGACTCCCTGGGATCTATGCTGGGATAAGGAGGGGAGGCAAAGGTGACTCTTGAGAAGGAAAAGTGTGATCTTGAGGGGTGTCTGCCTCAGGTGAGGCCTTCACGTGGTCACCGGGTGAGGGGTCTGCTCCTCCCTCGTCAGGGTGATGGGCTTCCAAGGCCAGCCTGAGGCATCAGAGGATTCTGGTCCCTTGATCCCAAATGTTCTTATCCCAAGGCTTAAGATTCTGTTCCTTCCTGCCCTCCACTTAGCACAAGAGGCTGAGGCTCTTGCACAGCTGAGGCTGTGCATTAAGTCTCCTTTGCAGCACCTCTTACAACTAAATACTGGGCCCAGTGGTCAGCCGGGTATGCCCCATGGCTGTGGGAGACGGGCTCTTTAAAGCGGTCATATGAAAAAAATATATGATATATATATATGTGAAAAATAACTATATTTTCCAAAACAAAAAAACTCAGAAGAGGCCTTCTGGCTTTCACAGCATGGCCTGAGTGGATAGTGGGCTGACCTGAGGCTGCCGTTTTCTTTCTTCAGGGTTTCACACTGAGCCAACGCCACCATTCGAGGCCCAGAGCTGTCGTGTATCCCGGTGCTGCATCTCCGTAGCCCTTCCCGGGTCACGGCTGCGCCGAGGCTGCAGCACCTCAGGCACGCTCACCACCCTGGTTTTTCCAGCATCGGGTCCTTGTTGCTGTCTGACTGGTGGGGGATCCAGTTCCACGTCTCACGCTGAAGAGCTGCTCTTGTGGTCCATGTGCAGTAACCTGTCTTAGCTTCAGTGTCTGTTATGGGTTGAATTGTGAGCCTCTCCCCCCGCCTCCCTAAATTCATATATTGAAGTCCTAACCTCCACTACTTCCGAATATGACTTTATTTGGAGATAGAGTCTTTACAGAGACAGTCAAGTGAAAATAAGGTCATTAGGATGGGCCCTAGTTCACTGTGACTGGTGTCCTCATAAAAGGGGAAAATTTGGGCCCAGAGACAGACACGAAGGGAAGACGAAGTCAGGAGACACGGGGAGAAGGTGGCCATCTACAAGCCGAGGAGAGAGGGCTGGAACAGATGCTTCCCATCGTCAGTGTTACCCCACATTTGCTGGGATGCGGATGTGGGGTTCAGAGGAGGAGAGAAGGCAGTGGGTGGGTGTGTGAAGGGTGCGCTCTGCTGCCTCTCAGTCCCTGCACTGGGGTGAGTCGGCCCTCATCCGCGGCAGCTCCTCAACAGCTCCCTTTAGAAAGCGGAGGACTTAGCATGCCTTGCCCTCAGCTTTGAGCCTTGACCCTAATTCTGGGTCCCCAAGAAAAGTCGCATGGGGACAGGTGCACAGCCTCACTCTCAGGCGTGTTACCTGAGCACAGCCTTCTGTGGTGGGCGCTATCACTGCCCCCACTTTTATGGGCAGGGACAAAGAGTTAGAGAGGTTATGGTTAGCTAGTCAACTCCGCACAGCTCAGACGCAGTGAAGCAGGAGTTTGAACCTGTGTCTCATTACTAACCTCTCTACAGCGGCTCTCAAATTTCTTTTATGTCAGGACCCATTTACATTCTTAAAAATTATGGAGAATCCCAAAGAGCTTTTGTGTATGTGGGTTGTATCTGCCAATATTTACCCTATTAGAAATCAAAGTGGAGAAATTTTTAAAATATTTAAAATTCACTTTTAAAAATAATAAACCCATTACATGTTAATATAAATAACATTTTATGAAAAATAATTATATTTTCCAAAACAAAAAAATTCGAGAATTGGCTTGTTTTACTTTTTTTACCCCAAATCTCTTTAATGTCTGGCTTAATAGAAGATAGCTGGATTCTCGTACCTGCCTCTGCATTGTCTGTTGCAATATCCTATGGCATGTAGCCTCTAGAAAATTCTGCTAGACACTCGTGAGAGCATGAGAGTGGGGAAGACAAACAATGTCTTAAGCATTATTACAGAAACCTTTTGACCTCGAAGACCTCAGAAAGGGTCTTGGGGACTCCAGGCTCTGCGGACCACACCGGACAGCTGCTGCTTTTCGCCTTGTGAGCTCTGGTAGAGGGCTAGATTGAGACCTGGTTCTGGCTCTTTCCATGAAGGCATGTGGCCCCCTTGTTGGTTTCTCCTAGTTGAGGCCTTAATAGAGCTCCCTGCAAGTGACTTTTCTTGAGGTCAGCTGTCAACATCCCAGTTTCACTCTTCACTGCCTCCTAGAAGGAAAAGCCGAAGAACAAGAAAGAAAGAAGAACAAGAAAGAAAGCGAAAGAAGTTTCGGTGAAACTTTGCAGGGAGGGAGGGAGGGAGGGGGAAAGAGGCAGTGAGAGAAAAGATAGACAAGAGAGGAAGGGTTTAAGGCAAATGGACCCCCGTCCTCTCACCCCACCCCCAGTCTGGAGAGGGCAGTGGAGAGGAGAGGAGGGCACAGCGCCTGGGAAGCCATGTGGAGAACCACAAGGCCAGCTACTGCGCAAAGGAGGGGAAAGACGAGCACCTCCCCGGAGGTGGGGGAAGGGAGGGGGCACTTTGAGGGCAGAGGGAGACAGCCCTTGTCTGGACTATGGGGGAGCAGCCAGCAGCCTTCCTGGCTTTCCAAAGGTTCCCAGTTGTCCTTGAAAATCTGAGGGGAAAGGGGAGGAAACAGCCGGGTCCCAGGACTGGGAGCTGCAAGCCCCACATGCCCCGGGTCAGGCCTCCCCGTCCGTCCCTTTGCACAGCACGACAGGGCCTTTGGTCTTCTTCTGGACCCCACCTTTGAGATGGAGTCAGATGGAGTCTGTGCCTGGCGTGACCCTAAACACCTTTACACCCTGGTCCTCTTTCCTGGAATTCTGATTTCTCCCGCCCTCGTCCTGTGGCTTCCGGTGGTTTCTTCAGCCTCTCTCCCCACTGAGTGCATTCTGACTTCGGGAGGGCGTGGCAGGATGTGGGCCCCTGCCCACCGCAGACAGGAAGGAGTCTTGCCAAGGAAGCTGTGTGGCTAGGGGAGTCTCGGGGCGGCAGAGGAGGACGGGGCAGGGTGCTGGTTGAATAAGCCAGCGTAGTGGTCAGGCTGGCCCAGGAGCTGTCCACCTGCCAGCCCTCAGTTACCCGAGTACGATACGCTTTGTCCTCGAGAAGGAGTGCACATTTTTCGTCTGCTATTCGTTCACTTTTCCCTGCATTCTTTCATCTCTCCAGTCACTCAGCTAACGCCGCCTGCACCTCTGGGTTCAAAATGGCAAACCGAGTGCGAGTGATCATCCCTCCTCCCTGCTAAAATCCCAGTAAAATGACCATCAAGCAACCAATCAATAAAATGAAAGCTAAAACAAGAGAAAGATGGATAGCAGGACTGGAGAACAGGAACAGGGACCATCAACAAAAGGCTGAGCAATTTCTGGAAGGTATAAAAGTGGCTGAGGTCAGAGTAGCAGAGGGACCAATCAGAGCTGAATGGGCAGCAGCTAGAGGGCATGTCCAGGGGTAAAGGACGGGAGGGTGGGTCTCCCGAGCTACAGAGAGTCTAGTTTTTCAAACAGACCTGGTGAACACCTCCACTCTGGACTTTGTGACCTGTTCTAGGGCCTCGTGGCATGTGAACAGAGTGGTCACCTGGGCCAGTAGCTCCCCAGGAATGACTGGCAGGTGGGCTCCTACAGGGGGTCTTTCCCAATAGGCTTCTGACGTGGACATCAGGGTCAGGGGACACAACAGCGAAGAGGGAATAAAGTGGTTCCAACAGCTGCAAACTCTCTAGTGTCTTGTACCCACTTCTTGTTGAAGGAGCCTCTGGTGGGCTGGCTCTCCCAGTGTCTCGCTGAGGCTGACACTGTTAGTTGCTGTATTCGTGTCCTAGGGCTGCGTAACAAAGGACCACAGACTGGGTGGCTTAAACAAGAGAAATTTATGTCCTCACCGTTCTGGAGGCTAGAAGTCCAAGATCAGGTGCCGGCAGCGTGGTTTCTCCTGAGGCCTCTTTCCTTCACTTGTAGACGGCCGTCTTCTCCCTGTGTCCTCTCATGGTCTTCCGTCTGTGTGCGTCTGTGTCCTGATCTCCTCTTCTTTATAAGGACATCAGTCATACTGGACTAGGGCCCATCTATGGGCCCTCATTGAGCTTAATCACCTCTTTAAAGGCCCCTCTCCAAATGCAGTCACATTCTGAGGTCTTGGGGGTTAGGACTCCGACATGAATTTTGTGGGGGGACACAATTCAGCCCATAACAGTTGCCTATCAACGCCCAACTCATCATCCTGCTAATAGAACCTTCCTTTCTTTGGGAGGGGAGGAAGTGGCAATTATCCAACGGAACGCTCACTTTCCCAGCCCCCTCCCCAGCCCCCTCCCCAGCCCCCCACAGCCCCCCACAGCTAGGTGTGCTACTTGACCAACGACAGGTAAGTGAGTGATTTGTAGCGTGCCCCTGAACTGGGGCTTCGCTGATGTTCCCTCTGACTAGATTCAGGTCATGTATCTTCGGCAGGAGCTTCAGCAAAGTGATGCGGTGTTGCTCTCACTGTACCCCATCAGGTGGCACGTGATTCTGGTTTGTCCCGTTGCTTGTGTCCACTTTGATCATTTGATTAAGGGGGTGTCTGCCAGGCTTCTCCACTGTGAAGTTACTCTTCTTCCTGTTGAAATTAAGAACTATTTTCTGGAGGAGGTAATTTGAAACTGTGTAAATATCCTGTTCTTCATCACAGTTTCAATGTAGTTATTTATTTATATTAGTATGGATTCATGGTTTCCTATTTTGTTCAATGGTCTATAATCCATTATTATCATTATTTACTTGAATGCTCAAAATTTCTCAGATTTGGCCAGTGGGAGCCCTTTTCAGCTATTTTAGCTACTGTAGTTTTAGGGTATATTTAACATTTTAAAAGTTTTTTAATAGTTGGTAGGGCAACTCCCCCTTCCCCAACTTTGTTATTCTTTTTCAGAATTTTCTTAGCTATTCTCGCAGATTTTTTCTTTCCTTATTGAGTTTAGAATTGATTTGTCAAATTATGTAAAAAATTCAAGTGAAATTTTGGTTAACAGTGATTTGAATTTATAGAAGAAAAAGGAAGAAAAGTAAACTATTTTCTCTAGGAATATGAAATGTTTCTTCACTCTATTTACTTCTTTTGAAGTCCTTTATTAAAGTTTTTAAATTGTATTCATAAAGTGTGCATATTTCTTCTTAGGGCTCTTCCTAGGCATTTCGTATTTTTTGTTACGGTTGTGAATAGCATCCCCCCCAACACACACGAATATTTTTAAATTGGTTATCACTAGTTTATAGGACCACTACTTATATATACATTGTAACAGTTTCTCAGGACGCCATAACAGAGTACCACAGACTGGGTGGCTTTAGGCAACAGGAATTGATCCTCTCACAGTTCTGGAGGATGGAAGTCTGAAATCAGGGTGTCGGTAGGCTGTGCTCTCTCTGAAGGCTGTAGGGCAAGATCTTTTCTGTGTCCTCTGCAGGTGGGGCCTTTCTCCTTCTGGTGTTGCTGGCAATCCTCGGCTTGTAGACGCATCACTCCAATCTCTCCCTGTCTTCACACGGCCTCCCTGCGAGTCTGGTCTGTGTCTCTCCTCTTCTTATAAGGACACCAGTCGTATCGGATTAAGGGCCCGCCCTGCTTCAGTATGACCTCATCTTAAATAATTGCATCTGCAATGACCCTATCTCCAAATGAGGTCACATTCTGAGGTTCTGGGAAGGACAGGAATTTTGGGGGGATACTATCCAACCCAGTGCATACGTACTTCACATTTGTTATTAAAAACTTTCTCACATATATGGCAGAGACTAGTCATGGTCCCACTCTATTTGTTCTTTTTTTTTTTTTCAGAGTGTGTAACCCCTGATTTTTAGCAAGTTATGTGGCCATCCAAAATAAAGGCCACATTTCCCAGACTCCTTTGCTGCTTGTTGTGGCCGAGTGACTAAGTCCTGGTCAGTGGGATGTGAAAATAAATGCGGTACGGCGGCTTCTGGGACGCTTCCCTAGGAGGCAGCTGGCGTGGTCCTTTGCCCTTTTCATCTCCTCTTCCCGTGTCTGGCTGGTGGAACACAGACGTTACAACTGGCTACATGTTGAGCCACAAGGACAAAGGCCCCACACATCCCGAGGATGGCGAAGCAGAAAGCTGGAAACGGCCTGGGTCCAGAATGACTGTGGAGTCATTGTCCCAGCTCTGCAGCTTTTATCTGGACTTTTCTGTTGGAGATAAGGGTCCATCTGGGGCTGCCATGCTGCAGGAGCCCGGGGGACTGTTTACACGGTGGAGGACCTGAAGGAAGACCTTGGAGTTGTGAGGTGAACAAAATGCATGGCCATCCTCCGAGGCCCTGCTTCTGTCTAGTTTAAGCCCCCGGGTTTGGAGTTTCCATTACTTTCAGGCAATAATAGATTTTTGATAGTTTCTTTAATATCCAAGAGGTTTTTGTGCATGGAGGGGAATACTCAATAGTATTGGTACTTTGTTTATTGCACAATTTATGGAAGTAATATAACTCAGGAAATCAATTTTCCTTGAGTATTTAAACATTATTATTAGTTTGATTAACTACAGTCTCTTAAACTTAAACGGCAATTCAAATCTAGTATGACTGATTCTTCAAACCCTCCAGACATCTTCAATAACAGGCCAAACATACACAAATAAAATATCTCAGACGGGTCGAGATTGCAGGATCTGAGCACTGTAAAGATTGCTTCTTGACTGAGATGCACAGACTACGCAGATTTAAACTGAAATCTTTGATCATTAGGCTGAGTCTCTTTTTGAATAATAATAAATATTTATTTGTGGCATCAGGGACTAAGTTTCTCTTTGTCATAGAGATTTTAATTTTTACAACTTGGTATCTTTCCCAGAATTTATGCATTTTCTAAGTTTGCATGGCAAGTCAGGGTCGTTTGAGATTTCATATGGATTTTAGGATGGTTTTTCCTATTTCTGCAAAAAATGAGATGGAGATATTGATAGGGATTGTGTTGAATCTGTAGATCACTTTGGGTAATATGGATATTTTAACAATATTAAGTTTTCCCATCCATGAGCATGAGCAGTCTCTCCATATTTGTGTCTTTAATTTCCTTGCAGCAATTTTTTTTTTTTTTTGGTGAGGAAGATTGGCCCTGAGCTAACATTTGTTGCCAATCTTCCTCTTTTTGCTTAAGGAAGATTGGCCCTGAGCTAACATCTGTGCCCATCTTCCTCTATTTTGTATATGGGACGCCACCACAGCATGGCTTGATGAGCGGTGTGTAGGTCTGATCCTGGGATCTGAACCCACGAACCCCAGGCTGCTGAAGTGGAGCGTGCGAACTTAACCACTATGCCACTGGGCCGGCCCCTCAGCAATGTTTTGTAGTTGTCCATGTATAGGTATTTTATTCTATAATTAATGGGATTGTTAATTTCCTTCTCTGAATGTTCGTTGTTAGTGTATAGAAACACAACTGATTTTTATTTGTTCATTGGATTTAATAATTTTCATTACTATTTCAAGTGTTCCCCCTTTTCCATTTTTAGATGATTATTGTTAATAAAGAAAAAGAGGTTTTATATCTTCATTTTGTATTCATCCCTCTTATTTACTGAGTCCTTTCTTTTTTTTATCTCCAAATTCAAGTCTCTCGGGTTTGGAAGGTATATCATCATCAACAGCAACAACAGAAGAAAGTTTATGTCTTCTTTTCCAATGTTTACACTAATTATGGAATTTCTCTGTCTTATTCCATTCCTTGGACCTCCAGGACCATGTCGAACCAGTGGGGACAGACACCGTCCCTGTCATTTTCCCGATTTAATTGAAATGGTTTTAATGTATTGCCATTTATAATAATATTTATTGCTGTCTTTTTCAGAAAAGTCTTTTCTCATACTTTAGTATTTTTTGTTTCTATTTTACGTAATATTTGAACGATGGCTTCAGGCGTGGTTGGTGTGGATGGAGCAAAGTGCCTCCAGCAATGCTGTCATCGCTAGACCGGCTTTGAGCGTGGCTTGGGGGCTCCTTCCTGGCCTGGCAGCCTCCAAATATAGTCCTCCATCTTTCCTAGACATTCAGTGAGCCACCCGACAGCTTTTTAATAAGTCGTTTTTTTATGTTTTAATTAGCTAGAGTTGGTACTTTTTGCTTCAACCAAGAACACTGAATAACACAGTTCCAAGTGTTTTTTATTTTTTCCAATCAATTCTATGGGGCAACTCTGTGCAACAAAGTTTTACCTTATTTATTTAGACACATATTAGACACAAAAAAGGAACAGAGACTACATGACCACAAAATGATCCAACTATTCTAGACTATTCTAGAATACACAGGGAATTCTCAAATTCTTTTCTTCGTTCTGCAGAGTAAAACTCCTTTATGCTCATTTTTATGAAAGACCTGATTTACCCTTTAAAAAGTAACCCAAGTTTTACAGACTTAAAAATTATCTTTATTTTTTCAATTATAAAAATGTAAACAGTATTTCCCCCTTATCCACGGTATCGTTATCCACGGTTTCAGTTACCCGCGGCCAACGGGCCCAATTGTCAAATTTCTGAAGTTATTCTCTAAACCATTAAGATTTGAGGGCTGTTGAGAGAGAAAGAGAGACGTTAGGAAGCCTGGATTGGTTGATTGGCAGGAAACCTTGTGGGAGGAAGGGAAGGGGAGGTGACGCTGAAAGCCTGGGACGAGAAAAGAACCCCGTCAAGGAGGGCCAGCGAGGCCTTGAGAGAAACAAAAAGCTGACAAGAGCCTCAGAAAACGGCGAGAAGGAAACAACTGGATGCCCCTGGCAGGAGAGCAAAAAAGGGTGTGGTGGGAAAAGAAAAATGAGCGAGGGGCGGTAGAGAGAGAGCAGGGAGAGGAGTGACCTAGAAGGGGCCAGAAGCAGGGAAGGCGGGGTGCGGGAGAGGGAGGCCGGGGGCCTGCAGCGGGGACAGCTTCTCACCCTCAGGATCTTCTGGAGCCGTCGGTCTATGCTTTCGCTGTACTCCCTCAGCTTATCCCAGCCCTCGAAAGGCTCTCCCCTGTGGTCCACAAAGTTTTCCCAGCAGTCAGCAAACTCTGAGATGAAAGAGGGGGAGCGAGTCGGCCCCAGGGGCAGGGGAGCAGCAAGCCTGCACCCCCACCCCGCAGGGCTGGGGTGTCCTCCTTCCTTTCCCCTCCCCTCATGGGCTTTAGTCTCTCTCTGGGATTTTCCCTTCCGGGTGGTATCGCATTTTGGGCTTCAGCTGGGCCGCCACCCTTCCTGTCCAGCCACCCCCACCCCCGCCCGGGCTCCCCCAGTGGCTTTCCCCTCTTGGCACTGTAAACCCTGCCATCCACTGACAGCTCTCCCTCCCTTCTTACCTGGGTAACGCATGATAGCCAGGGGGACTGATGTCTGCAGCTGTTGCAGCCCCTGAATAGACCGCCTGCGCCAGTGGAAGTACAGGCGGGAGGCGAAGATCTGCAGGCTCAGTCTGGGGTAATCTCTGGTGAATGCAACCAGCTCTAGGGCACAGGTCGGGCAGGGGCTCCACGTGATATAGCAGGTGATTTCGTAGCTCTGGACTCTGTCCAGTCCCAGGGACTTGATCTTGTCAATAAAGCGAATTTCTGCGTGGCGCTTCTTCTGGGGAGGGTCCCAGTCAGAGAGAAAGAAGGTTAGAAGACAGAGACCAGAGGTCACGTACCAAGGGCAGAGTTGGGGATGAGGGGCTCTGCTGTGAGCTTTGAGTATGTGAACTTGTCTAGGACAGAGAAAGAACCTCCTTCCTTCCTTCATCATTCATTCCTTCACTCCCTCACGCATCCATTAATTCAACACCCCCAAAGCACCTGCAGTTTGATCCGAATCAGACCAGAGTCCCAGTGCCCAGAGGAGGCGGGTTGGCAGACAGACACCCCCACGGCACAGTCCCGAATGCTCTGCAGACCTCGCCTTTGGACACTTGCCCAGGAGGTTGTCTGGAGATGTTTGGACCTGGGGGTGCCCAAGGAGCAGGTCAGAGTGGGAGGGAGGAGGGACGGGGCAGGTTGGGAGACAGGCGAGAAGCAGAAATGTGAGGGAGGTCTGTAGCTGGAGTTAATGCTCAGTCCTGGAAGTGCACTTGGCTTCCCCAAAGCAGCCACTGAGCTGAGGTCTAGAGGACAGTCACCACCACCTTCTCAAGCAGGGGCAGGAGCACTCTGCTGGAGGGGCTGCCTCTGCGGAGGCCGGGGATGGGAAGCCGGGCTCACTCAGCCCCTGGTAAGCCTCAGTCTTTTCCCTGCACGTTGGACAGGGTTAGCCCCTGCCTGCCCTGTGCCCAAACATCCCACTTGGCACCTTGTTTTGAAAGTAGTCTTTGTCAATTATGGAGCCATCGAGCCCCTTCAGCTGGTAGCACAAGTAGGTCTTTCTCCGGCGGTAGGGCTTTGTGACCCGCGGCTGGTTGCCAAACTGCTGTTTGAATACGTCCTCTTTTAGCCCATTCTTTGTGTTTCTGTGCAATAGGAAGGAGAAAAACGGAGATGCAGAGAGCGTCTTCCAGCACATCCCCCAGGCCGCGTGGCCTTCTGAACCCAACTCCTCGGGTTCCCTTGGGCCCCTGAGGGGCGGTAAAGGAGGATCTGCTCCTTTGTTGGCCAGGAGGACTGGGGAGGTAGAAGGAGGAGGGTGGGATTCCCACCTAGCCTGCTGCCTCCCACCTCCAGCCTGGCAAACCACACCACCCCCCACACTGGAAGCCATTGCAGGCAGGACGCCTGGGCTGGACGAGTGGGCCAGAGAACTGGACACCACGGTCCTTCCTTGGCTCACGCGCCGTTGTCCAGACCCCTTGGTTCAGGTCCCACAGGCAGGTCAACCCGTGTCCGATGTCAGAACCCTTCTCTTCGGGGAGTGAGAGGATGGAAGCTGGTGCTTCCTCTAACTCTGTCCTCTGCTCAGGAGTGTGTATCACAATTTTGTCTGTACAAAGAGCACAGAGGCGGGTGAACAGGAAAAACTGTTGTCACCAAGGAAGGGTTGTGACAGAGACTGGGGGCTGAAAGACTCACATGGCTTTTTGTCCCCATGTTATATTCCACAGAGTATTCATTTTGTATTTCACTTTTTTTCATGTAATATTATATTGCAAAGTGACCTGGCCCACATGGGCATGCAGAACCACTGGCATCATTTTGATAAATGCTGTTGGCTCTGCACAGGAAGAAGTAGGGGGACAGAGCTAGGAGCCTTCCTGCCACGTCCCAGAAAAGTGCATGAGGGCTCGCTCTGGCCAGAGCCCTGCGCATGTGGACATTCATGGCCAAGTGGACGCCAAACAGTCTGAACAAGCTTGGGAGGCTTGATGGAGCCCCAGCCCGCTGTCCCTCTGGACACTTCATCCCAGGCTAATGTGACCTGGCTGACCATCGAGTCAGGCTCAGGTGACCACAGACCCTTGGAACTTGCATCTGGACACAGCAGTCAAGTCAAGGGTGCCGTCCCTCAGGGCACAGACCAAGGGGCACAATTGATTTCCATACCCTGTTTCTGCAAGGCCAGAAATGCCTCCCCAAGATTTCCAGCCAACTCATCGAAATAGTGCTAGTTTTGTCATTGAAAAACCATTTCTGACATCTGTTATGATAACTAACAAAGCTACTAATTTCATCAGTGGAAACCGTTCTCTGACATCCCTTGTGCTAATTAGTACAGTTTCAGGTGGATTTGGAATTTCAGGGCAATTGCTGAAGAGACCATGTCTGGACTGTGGCCTTTGATTACCAGCCTATGACCTTGCTTGAAGTTTGCACTCCCAATTAGGGCAACTGGCCACCCTCAGGGTGAGGATTAGAATGAAAAAACACCATTCATAGCACCCAAGGACCATGGACTGCCCTGCTTGCCTGGAATCTTCCTGATTTTAGCACTGAAGTTCTCATATTCTGGGAAATTCCCAAGTCCCAGGCAAACCTAGACAATCAAGGCTGAAATAGTTCAAATTTTAGACATATGCACTATCTTAATAGCACAAAATCGAACCTTGATCTTGAATAGCTAAAATTGTAGGTATGATAGAAACAACTTGTAAGAAGTATTTAAAGACCAATTTAATTTTTCACACTTGGTAGTGTCTTCATGGGAAACAATTTGTCTTCTTGTCTTGGAGCGTTTTCCCTCCACAGAGCAGAAATGAAAACATTCGTTGCAAAATTGTGCAAGTCTTTAAAATAAAATTTATAAATAGGCTTTTATAGCTGACTCCAACAATTGTTTCAATCATCCTCGAACCTAAAGTCTACAATCGAGTGTAACAACGAGCTTTAGGAAGAGCCGTGCCAATGGGACTTGGGCAGGGACGCAGAGACAGGCTGCAGGGGGGCATCTGCAGAGGCAGGGCTGGGGGCCTGAGGCCCTACAGAGAAGGAGCCAGAGAGGAAGAGAACCGAGGGCCCGGAGCTCGGAGGAGGCAGGAGGCAGAAAGGAGAGTGGGCAGCGGTGCCCGGTCCCTGCAGCCCGGCCGCAGCCTCCTTGGCAGGCTTGTCCCAGCCTGCCCTGGACACAGGGTGCTCCAGCTCCACCTTGCTCTCCCCAGGCTGCCCCTGGCCTTGGGAAAGCCCCTGATCTCTGAGTGTCCTCCTACAGCTGTCTGAGTCGTGGACCCACACCCTTCCTGCCATGGTAACGGGGTGGGGGTTGGGGCTGTGGGGGGTTGGGAGTTCCGGGGCCAGGGGTGGGGGCCCTAGGGTGCCTTTGCGTTTCTGGCTCAGACCCACCTTCTTTCCTCCTCCTGGGCTGTTGACTTACCCGATCCTGGGATTCTGGGTGTAGTTAACGCCTTGGAGGGCTTGTCCCTGCCCTGCCCCTTGTCTTGGGGGCTGGGGGTCCATTTCCTCTCACAGGCCTTTGCTTTAGGAAAGCCCCTTATCTGAGAGGGACCTCCCAGGACTCTCAGCTGAGGCCCCACCTCCTTCCTGCTTTGGCACCAGGGGCGGGAGGGCCCTCGGGTGGTTAGACTTCTCAGGCTCAGACCCACCTTCTCTTAGGCACCCCCCCCGCGCCGGCAGAGCTCGCCCGCTGATGGAGACAGGCCTGTCTGTGCAGCAGGACCCAGCGTTGTTGCAAAGGGAAAGAGAAAGTAATGATGCCAGAGAGACGGGGGCGGGACAGACCCTGTCTGAAGAGAGCAGGACAGAGGCCCTGCTCCTCTGGGGAGGGGCAGGCTGGAGCCCTCTCCACACCACCCCTGCTTTGCACTTAGTCATCATTAGTATCCTGAGCCAGAGACGCAAAGAGCCAGAGACTATGGCAGATGAGAAGAGTGGGGCGGGGGTCAAGGCTCTGGGTATGTATCTCCAGCCCCAGAGAAGGCAGGCATATGGAACAGATCCTGTACTCCATCCTCTACCCCAATCCACCAACAGCATCGAGAGGGAGGATCATTATCCTGACATATCCAGCACAGAGAGGCTGAGATACTCTCTCGAGGTCACACAGCAAAATGGCAGAGCTGGAATGCTGTCCAGGTGGCCTGGCCTGGCTCCCTCCCCCGGTCTTGCTCCCTCTGTTTCCTCATTGTTCCATGAAAAGGAACGATGGCACAAGGGGAGGGGCCTTGCTGACCTCACGGGGCCCCCCAGGTCAGTGTGCATCCGGAAAGGCATCTATGTCACATGTCCACCAAGACCTCCAGATGAAAAATAAAGAGCATCTTGCAAAAGTTGAATCTTAGGGAGGAGGTCTTAGAGCACTCGCCTGTCACCCGGAGACTAGATTGCACACAAGCCTGTGTCCCAGAGGAACCTTTCCCAGCTTGTCACCTCTCTGTTCCCTGACCCTACACACACCCCGTTCTGCCCCACAGGCCCTGGTTTGGCCCCAGGGGTAACAAGAGCGTGGGCAAGAGGTTAGGTTAGGTTAGGGGGTGGCATCCCCCCCACCCCCATGTGTCCTAATGTCCAGGGGCCACAGCCAATGGAAGATTCTAGAATGAGCTGGGCCCTTCCAGGAAGAGTCTGCACAGTGAGGTGGGTCAGGCTCCGAGAGCTAAGACACCCCCAGCCTGAGAAGCAGGAAGGATGCACAGGAAGGCTGACCCTTTGCCGGCCTTTCCCTAGTGACAGCACTGCTGCTCTAGCCTGGAGAATTCTTGCGAGCCATCTGAGATGGGGAAGAATGGAGATGTGCCGGGACTGGGACAGTGACTATCTTGGAGGAGACGTCCTGGAGGTCCCCGTGGATCTCTAAGACTGGCCTTCTGCTTTGTTCTTTCCTTTCAGTTGGTGGAGACATTCTGAGCTGGCCACTTTGGCCCGTTTTGATGACAGAGACAGTCAAGAGGTGTGTCACCCCCGTCCGTGACTCCCTCCTTGGAGGAAACGTGGAAATGCAGAGCATCGAGATGGGTGAGCTGAGGCAGCCAGAGCGCCCCTGGATCTGCCCTGGACCCGCAGGCAGCCATGCGGACTGGGAGGGAGTGTGAAGGGACGGGTGTCTGTTGTCACCGACAATTCACACTGCGACGGCCAATCGGAGGGAGAAACAGCTGGTCTGCATGGGACCCAAGACATTCTCCACCACGATTTTATGGATGGATATCAAACCGAACTTCCCTCTTCCTTTTCCTTCCTCTGCCTCTGCCTGCCTGCCCAGAACCACACTGTGTCAGGGTCTCTCGCTCCCCTTTCGCTGTGCCACGGTCCAGGCCACCCCATCTGGAGCTTCTGCTGAGCTCCTCCCCAGTGCCTTTGCGTGGCAGCTGGCTCTGGGCTCAAAGAACCAGGTGTTCACTCCTGATTTCCCCTGAGGGCCTGAGCTGCTGTGTCTCTGACCTGCTTATCAGCTGCCGTCCATTTTCTCGTCTGCTTTTTGGA